ATTTAGAAGTGTGATATCCTATATTTAATCGCTTAGTATGTGTGATTGGTATTGGTTACTTAGTAATATCTATTTTCCTAGCGTGTGATATTTACGATTTCAAGTTGTATTAGTTAAAATTATTCAGTCRTGCGATTCAATAAATTGTTTTGTAAAGTTACTCTCCGTTCTCATTCCTTTGCGTTAACTCAACGAACTCGCGCTGTCGCGGCATTTGAAATATAGTGCCGTCACACTAGCCTCCTACTCTGCCGTTCTTAGTGTCTGTCTGTCACGCTGCATAGGAGGCTACAGGAAAACCTACAGATATTGCATTTATCATGTCAAGCTCGCAGTACATAATGGATTGGCTGAGGGCTCTCGGCCAATGAGAAGCGAGATAGTGAGTAAAATGTATAGTATTTCAAGTTATTCTACATACTTGGTTCAATGTTCCACCAAAGAATCTTGACGTACTTGTCCCTATCAAAGCGGGAATGTTCGTGGAAGAATCCAAGTGCGTGCATCAATTCGTGCATAATGGTCCCCTTGTACTCGCAACCCTCCCCTACGGCTAATTTTTGTCGTCCTCCCTGCCGACCAATGGGAGAATAGCATCCATAGTCACGTTTGAAATAAATGTAGTCCTTCTGGTTTGTCTTGGGGATAAACTCAACGCATGTGTGTTTGTGGAACTCTCTAATGGCTTTTCGTATAGCTCTTCGAGCATCTTTACCTGCGGAAATGAGAAACGTTAACATTTAGTGGTGATGAAAGCATTTAGTCAATTTTTTTCAATTGGTCAAATTCTCTCTCTCTCTCTCTCTCTCTCTCTCTCTCTCTCTCTCTCTTGCTTTCCTTTTGTCTTAGTATTTCAACTGTTGCTATGGTTGCTGATGCTACTGATTTCTTTTATTTTTATTTTCATTTGTATTGGTTTTGACTCTATTGAAACACGTTCCCTTAAGCAGTTAACCCTAATAACTGGTTGCTTGACAGAGTTCGCATGACATAAAATCTTATAACTAGACATGCAGCACGTTCATGGATCCCCCGAGGCAAACTCGGCAAGCTTTAATTCTGTTATCTGATCAAAACCAATCAAAATCAGGTACTGGACTCTAAAAGGATGTAGAAATAAGTTTCGAATTGGTCATACCCATCACGTAGTATTTAATACAATGCCAATCAACTTGACAACCCTCGTGACCCCAATGCACCCAACTTGCTAATTTGTCATACGCTAATTTGTCGTATTCTCGTATTTGATTGGATAATTCCAAGGTCAATTCTTCTCGACAGCGGAAACGTAATTGGTCGAGCATAAGATCGTGAGTGCGCGGCAGTTTACATGTTACTCTACGTGAATCAATGACGTCAACTTGACGAATTCGGCCAAGTGCTTTAGTTATTTAACACTCTTAATATCTAATAACCATCAATATATATAAATGATCGATAAGTGCTACTTGACATCTAGAACTAATGCAGCTCTCTCTTTCTCCAAGCACTGCACTAAATTTCATTAGCATAAACTTACTAATGGTATATCGCAAATCCTTTGCTCTGATTGGCTGAGCCTACTAGTGGTCTAGTAGTGTAGCCTAGCGAAAACTGCTTTTCTTGAAAATCAAAACAACGTAATACTAAAACAAGTAGACCTCTTGCACTCGTGGTTTACGAGTCAATAACCCATTCAGCCTTTGGCCACATGGGCTATTGACTCGCAAACCACTTAGGCTTAGCCATCTAATTGTTAATTATAAAACAAAAACAACGACGGCAGGAGCAGCAACCACATCTATCGTCTAGTGGGCAGTTTACTGACTTACCTAATTTAGGGTCTATAGTATACGGCACAACACTGTTGCTCCATCGCCTAATCAGTTGTGTCGTTACTTCTCGTCTTGTGCGATGCTTCAGTGAAATCAGCTTCTTGACGGGTCGTGTTAGGAGAATGTCTCCTTCGATCAGTTCTATAGAAAAATTAAAAAAAACATTATTTTTTGTTCCATAAAAGTCGCGGTGAAATAATGACGCCGCCCATTCCTGATGCGGTTTGGTTAGTACAGAAATTGCACGGCTTGCCGCAACCGCTAGAAACCAGAAGGAGCCAAAGAAGATATAGGCGATAGGCCGATGGATAGGTTTTATATTGAAAGACGGATAGGAATTATGGGCATACAGTTAAAGATAATAATTGGAGGTCTTTTTAAAACGGTTTCTCGGCTACAAACAACATTAATATTAAATATCTTAACACTAAGTTCCATGGTCTAACGAGAAAACGAAGCAGAAACACAAGTCATTTCAATTGAGGTATTCTCGGATTTTGGCTAGTGACCTATCTCCTATCGCTTATCGCCTATTCCCTATCGCCATTGACTTCGTACAAATGAAATAGGCATAGTGAGGCAAGAAGATTACCTCCCTTTTTTGCGGCATTTTTTCCAGGCAATTGCCGAATGATATGCATCTAAAAAGATGGCAAGAAAGACCATACGAAAGAGACACCTYGGAACAGATCTTAATATTGATAACGAGGTCTACAAAAGTTTCTAGGGTTAAGCAATTGAGATTGAAAACTTAACTAAACAAGTATTTTGAAATAAAAACATTCCAATAAGTTTCTATGCACTCGAGTTGCGTAACACAGACGAAGATAAACCACAAAAAATATCAAGGTCTTTCTTTCGCCAGACAAAAACAAAAACAAACATTTAACTGCCAAATACCCAGATGTCACGCAATAGTCTGGTCACCCCATCGAACTTGAAGCCCTTGAGATCTTGATAACCAAATGACTAGGATATTACACAGTTATAGAGAAAAGACCGCAGCAACACCCATGTCTGTGTTAACAAGTAACTACTGTACAAAAATATCCGACAACAGATACGACCGACCTTTCTGAGTAAAATATTTCCTTGTTATGTACAAGGACAACCAAAAAAATTTCGCAAACGTGGGATAAAAAATGCGTGATGAATGACAGTTCAAATGAACCATTCTCAGAAGCTGTTCCATAATATGACTCGTAAAATGGATTTTTTTGTTTGTTTGTTTGTTTTTTGTTGTTGTTGTTGTCGGGTTTTTGTTGTTGGTTGTTTTTTTGGGGTTTTCTTCTTTTTTTTATTTTAGTTTTGGGCTTTGTATAAATGCGAATACCCAAAAGAGGAGGTCGCCAATCAATACTGAAGCCTGGTTATCGGGTATGAATGGCTTTATATTGGAAGAATTCCCTTTCACAGGCCGAACAAAGCTTACTGACTGACACACTGCATGCATGTAACTAATTGGCCAGTGGTAGCTGGAGCATCCGGCAGAAGGGGTAGATATTTTCTGTCAAAATGTTAAAAATGCCAAAAAAAATTTAAAGCCAAGTATGAAAAGGAAACGCCAAATAGRACAACTAAAATTCAGTCAACTTCCTGGAGAATTCAAAGACATGGTATATTTTTTTTTAATCGTTTCATCGTTAGCTAAGACTGAAAGAATAGATTGTTTTTCTGCATTTGAAGGCGGGTTAGTGTACCGTACCTACCCCTAGGCACTTGTAATCCCTCCGCTGGCTATGAAGTTGAATTGAAACTTCAATGCCATGACATGCAGTTTTGCTATCACAATAAGATAAGCAATCCTCCCTATAGCGATAACATATATTTTTATTATTATAAGTRCAGACACATATCCATTACACGAGCTAATGACAGCTATACGTAAAAGCGTAAATACTCGGGTCACTCATTCAACTCAAAACAAAAAGCTTTAAATTTTATCTGTCCCATCTTGAGTGATGCTARAGCACCCAAATGAAGTACAAACCAATACGACTCAATTAGGTATATAATCAATTAGAAGCCTAGTTCTGAGAAGTACTTTACTGAGATAAGATGGCAGGACGTAAATTGGATAATAATTCACAATGTCAGTCAATATTCCGTCAAATTGGTGCTGAAATGTTGGTTATTATATAGATTAAGGATTTGGAGCACATGTACAGTTATAGCCAATAAATATAACCAGTTATGATTCGTGCATTTACCATTAATATGCAATATATTTAGGCAAACGTTTGCGCTTTAGTAACGATCGATATTAGTCTTTCTTTATGTAAATAGTAAGTCTATAATCGGCTTTGCACGAATATAGGAAAACGGTACTTTGTGKGCTCCATTGTAAATATTATGTGCTGTGAGATGACAGCGTTGACTTCTGTTCTTGAAGACACACAACACAAAATGATTTATGGCCACTTGGAATGCAATCATGAATTCAAGTCTAAACTCGCCTTGGACTGACTATTGAGGAGTACACACATGTTACTAAACATTAGAACTCTTTACGAGCCATAAAAGTTTGTTGATATATAACTTTCAATTCATTCCATACTTTCCTTGGAAAGTCATTTCAATCAACTTTAGCTTAGTTATAGAAGCTAGTTAGGTCCGTGTTCAAGCGTACTGGAATAACCTATACATGAACAATATAGTGAAAGGTAAAGGCTTATAATAATAATAAAGATCTTACCTTGTTTGTGATGATGGGAYGTTGCTAGCGATGCAGCAATGAACCCAGACAACGAGGCAATTAAAACATATGCTAACACAATAAGTTTTTCCATTCTCCTGAATGATGGATTGCGAGCTGTTTTCAGCGTGGCAGCTTTAGCTGGCCAGAGAAATCTGAACTAAGCGTGAAGGTCAGTACTTTATAAACCGTAACACGGCTTTCATTTACATTTATATTCCTGTTCGACCCCTGTCACTGAGAACCCGCGAAGCACATCATTAGTGCCGGCTATGACGTCAAACTTGTGGTCTCAGATTTCAAAAGCAGTGGAAGTATCGCTTCAAGTATTCTATTACGCATAAAAGAACACTTATTCAAGATGTCGAGATTTCTCTTCAAGGAGATAAGGTTTAGCGACGTGAGAGCATCACGGCGCATAAAAWATCTCGAGTCCCCAGTCAACCATGATGGTTTGAAAAACGTATATAATGCCGACGATAAATCCCACTGTGTTTGAGTCAATTTTCTTCCATGAGGTTCCGGAAAATTCCATCCCTAGGGCCGCCCTTCGGTACGATGTACAGCCTTTGTTCAGCTAGAAGCGATTATAGTTTGTAATATCGCTACTTGTAACCTCTTACAAACCGCACGCAAATACAAAGTTARCTATCAGTTTTAGGAAGTTGAAGAATCTTGAACGCCAAGTGCGGTGACTGACACGCAAAACTCTAAAGACAACCGTGCTGTGTCACAGTACTAACTGAGGCACAGTCACGGGCTACCTTAATGTAATAGTGCAAAACTGTCAATTACGAGGAATCACGGAACAGGAAACAACTCCTTAGCTAAGACGGTTATAAGCGCCCTAAATCTTTAATATCGTCAATGACAAGGCTTGGGTATACCTGTACGAACGCCGTCGATCGTTACCCAGGTTACCCAACGTAAAGTTGATAGAAGATGCTTATCTACCTGTTTACCTTAATATRACAACTTGTATTTTCAATTAGTTACCTCGAATTTGATTTTGACGTCATAAACAGAGATAAGAACAGTAGCTGGAGACTAAACTATATGATGTTGAAAGGAGCTCCATCAACTGAAACACTTTCAATTATATCTCAAATCAACAATGACAACAGATTATCGGATCTGAATGAATGGAGTGGATATTGCCTCATAGATAAGGAACGTGTGCAATAGTGTCGTGATTCAAGATGAGCGGGATCTGATCATTTGATCATGCGGAGCACGGGACTTTCATACAGACAGGGACCGCGGAGAATGGGGGGCACACACACACACACTTTTTGGGGTGGTCCGCGGTCCTTGAGAAAAGGGCCTTTCTTTGCGTGGGCCAGTGCAAGCCCGCGCCACTGCTTCAATGCTCGTCCCACCCTTGGGGTAAATCAATTAAAATTTCACACTTGAATTCAGTCACATACTTAATCTTCAGTTTATTCGCGTGGGATTATTTCACTTTTCACGGTACAGACTTGAGATCCCTTGGACGGTTTTAAGGAAGGAAGCCGAGGACATGCTAGAGTAGGCTAGACAATGGACAATATCCAGGCTTAGAAAAGAACCGATTTTGACTTCGGGATCAGTACGGAACTGAAAACATATTTAGTTTTCTTTCCCCTTTTCTTATTTTCCTTTCAATGATCTGAGGTTATATTCGGCCACAAGTCCCCACCCTTCGTCTGTCCCGCCGCCGGCTCTCAACCACGTCTTATTTATCAATCGGTATCTTGTTATTACCTACTGCGAACAAACTCCTTGGGCACCTTTACTTCATTTTACACATACTTCATTTTACACATACTGATCCCTTGTATAAATGCTCCCACACATAATATAATCCCAATTAATGTTCATGTTTATTATCAATCAATCTGTTCATTATATTGACATCGATGTCTAAGGGTTCTTGGAATGCACAAAAGAAAGAAGGAGTCCAAAATAAAGACGCTGTTCAACTCCAAAACTATGTTCCTTGATCTGCTTTATTGCACACCTGTCTTGAAAATAATCTTAACTGAAATATTTAAAGGATGAGAGCAATTCATTTTCATCGTTTCTCGTTCTTCTACTCAATAATAGCTCCTGTTTTGTAGCTCGCTTCATTCTCGGATTTCAAGAGTCGTATTTCATGGAGTTGTGCGTCGTTCGGGTAAGGTCGGCGTCTTTCCGTCCCATACGAGTACTTTACGAAATATGCCTACGAGTGATTATCGACTATAACTATTCAACGACCTTTCAAAGGTAAACAATGTAGTTGAGGTTTTTAGAGGCTTACAAATAGTTTTCTCCATGAAGATCCTCAAAAGCCATTCCATACGAGGAGAACCAAGTCCATAGTCATGTCGTGGCGTGCATGGATTCGTTCTGCGGTATTCTTTTCATATTTTATAGTTCTTTGTGTCGCTTTGCCTCTGTGTGTYTGGGAGCTCCACAGACAGGATGCTTCGACACACGTCGAGGCATGGTTTGTGGCTGGGATATTTGTGTTTTTGACGGTGCCTATATCTCTATGGGGAATATTACAGCATTTAGTGAACTACACAAAACCTGAACTACAGAGACGTGTTGTAAGGTACGTTGTATTTGTTTTTTACTTTTAATTGGTCTACATATAGATCCCATTAGTGATTTGCACCCTTAGCCTATGACTTGATTCTCTCAATGCTAGTAAAAGTTCTCATTTTAATGTGCCCAGATAAGAGATCAGTAATGTGTTGCTAAGGGCTGTTTCACACTTCAACATTCCATTCCATTCCAACAACATTCCATTCCAAGTCTCCATTCCTTATGCTTATGCTTTGTGCAAGCCCGGTTCACACTTTTGTTTCTTACCCTGATGTTTATGCTTATGCTTATGTTAAAGTGTGAACCAGCCCTAAAACAGCTTATATTTGCCCAAGATCAGGCAGTATCAGCTATTACTTTTCTTTTTTGCTAATATGCTCAGAAAAACTATAATCTGAGCAAATTGTCAATGTGCTACAGAGCCGTGTACTCCATCAATTTACCAGCTTAACTGGAGGGAGGGGGGCATATCACTGGATGGCTTATAATCAAGAGGGCATGTTTTTTTTATCAGTCAGGTAGCAGGTGGGCTTATCACTGGTGTAGGGGGGGGGGGGGTTATATCCAGGATTGTGTATACTGTAAAAACTCTTTTTGTAAAAACTCACAAAAAGTAACTTCACCGAAAGTCTTCTCATTATTATAAATTTTTTTATCTAACTCTGTATGATAATTATTATATTTTTCAGAATTTTATGGATGGTACCCATATACTCAATAGACAGTGTGAGTATGGCCKACCTATTTAAAGGTTATTGTTTTTATAACTCCACAAAATTGCTTGATTCTGATTGTACAAGAGGAGTACAATTAAATCCCAAATTGTACTCTGTAGAGTCCCAATTAAGTTGCTCAATTTTGTTGAGTGTATTATAAACAGAAAAATGTGCATTCTTCAAGTACAATTCAGAATTTAAAGATATTTGTGATGTTGGTCTCTATAGGAGAGCATTAAATTTGAGCATCAAGACCATATTTGAAATATATTATACCAACTTTGATGTTACTCACTTTTTATTTCAGTGGCTGGCCCTACGTTTTCCTAAATATGCTATATATCTTGATTCCTTGAGAGAGTGCTACGAAGCTTATGTTATCTATAATTTCATGACATATCTGCTAGCATACTTGAATAGAGAACATGACTTGGCGATTGAAATGATTGGGAAGCCACCTATAAAACACCACTTTCCTTTTTGTTTGTTTCCTCCATGGAAAGCTAATATGTAAGTACAYTGGTTTTATCCTTGCTAACTTACTACAGTGCATTGACTGGGTTTTAACCCTTCTCCTCCTCCCACTTCAAAAAACAGTTTGAATGATTCAAAGGGTTAGAGATGAGAGAGAGAATGTTCTGGTAACAAAATTCTCTGGCTTAAGTTTCCATGATATTCCCTTTTTTATTTCAAAATTTAATGAAATCCCTACCTGTAAACCAGAAATAATTATGTTGGCAAAGATGTTTATAATTTATCTGCTACAGGCATTTTATCAATCGCTGTAAACAAGGTGCAATGTCCTACACAGTCATACGTATACTAACAACCATCATAGCAGTGTGAGTAGCATTAATTTTTTTATTTATTAATTCATTTGTTCATTCTTTCAATCTCTCCATTCTTTATCAAATGCTTCATTATTATTTTTTTTATTTATTTGTTACAGCTGCACAGAACTAGCTGGAAAATATGATGAAGGAAACTTGAACTTTAAGAATGCTTGGTCCTATATAGTGGTTATAAACAATTGCTCTCAAGTGGTAAGATAATTTGTTTATAATAATTTATACACTAATTTTAAATGTATTTTTATATCACTTATGGTCCTTTTCAGTGTGACTACACCAACCAAGACCACCCACCTCAGCCAAATTTTCATATAAATTAGACAAACATGATTGAGTACTTAAAGAATGGATTCTGCAGAAAATTTCAAATTTTTCCCTTTCATAGCAAACATTTTGCTTTATACACATATTTGAGAAATCGCTGTYGCACCAAAAGCCTCAAACAACAAGCCAAGACCACAGAGAATGCTTGTACTTTTAGCTGTAATTATTCATGGTGCATTTTCATTTATTGACTTCACAAATTGCTCCAAGCAAGGGTGCTTGAGATGATAATTAGTGTAGAGCTATAACCACTTGCATGAACTATGAATAAATGTGATCATAATTAAAAGTACCGACGTTCTCTGCGGTCTGGGCTTGTTGCTTGTTGCTCTTGGTTGCAACAACGATTTTTCAAATAGGTGTATATATGTTTGTGTGTGTGTATCATTGGATGTGAACAAGAATCAGTTTGAAATTGTCCAGAATTTATCACCTTCCTTTTAAGATTTAATTATTTTTTTTGGGTGGCAGCCTTGGTTAATTTAGTTGAACTGTAATAATTACTATTAATTATTAGGRATAAACAAGTTCCCTTTTGCTGGCAATAAATATCAACATGCTATTATAACTGCTCTTTTTAATATTTTTCTATAGTGGGCTTTATACTGTCTGGTACTGTTTTACAAGACACTGAAAAAGGAATTGAAGCCAATTAAACCATTTGGGAAATTCCTGTGCATCAAGCTAGTGGTATTTGCATCATTTTGGTAAGCCCTTGTACACAAAATCTTATTATTCTTAATTTCAGTTTGCTGCACACTTTAAAAAAATAATACTCTAAAAAGTGGATTAAAAATAAATGGATGGATGAATGAATGAATGAATGGATGAAATGTGGTGTAAAAGGTCCTCCCTTTTAATGCCCAAAACACCGTTACAGTTCCAAACTTTTTTACAAGTTGTTCAAGTTTAATTTTTATCTATTTGTTGTATTTACACTGCATGACAGTCGCAACTAGTACATTTCATATAGTATATATTTCATATAGTATATTTATATAGAACTTTATTATTATTATCATTATTCATTTATATATCTATCTTTTTTATATTGTTCTTAGTAGCTATAGATTTTTATATTTTTAAATATAAAAAAATTATTTATTTAGTTCTGTCCTCAATTAGCTTTATAGCTAAATATTTTGACATTATTATTATTATTTATTTATTCATACATACATGTATGGTGTAGTTGAATATTACACTATCTTTTTCACAGGCAAGGCGTTTTAATAGCAATTTTAGTTATTTAGTTCTGTTCTCAATTAGCTTTATAGCTAAATATTTTGACATTATTATTATTATTATTTTTATTTATTTATTCATACATACATGTATGGTGTAGTTGAATATTACACTATCTTTTTCACAGGCAAGGCGTTTTAATAGCAATTTTAGTTAAGGTATGTGCTATAATTTTTAATACTGAAATACAGAACAATAATAGCRTTAATTTTTTTTAAATGCATATATATATTACTGATAACATGAGGTCCTTAGTGATGATTAATGAAATAAATAAAGGGAATTAACAATGTTCCCATAGAGTGGCTCCTCTTCTTACTGACCTGTTCCCATTTAGGGAGGGGAATTTAGGAGTTGATTCTTGGGGAGGGACGAAAACTGGAGGACTCAGACAAAAATCCTGTGAGCACAAGAAAGAACCAACACACAGCTCTTCTCACATACAACACCGAGTCCGGGAATCAAACCAGTGCTGTGTTGGTGACCCCAGGGGACCCTTATGGGTACATAACCTTTCTTTCTTGAGTGATAGATTTCACATGAGGTGAAAACTCCCTTGGCAAGAAAGTGTGGTTTCCTTAGGTAATTCATTCATCAGACCTACTGTAGTAGCTACTTAAGTGACCAAGATATCTCCAGACAGCTAGATTTTGACATCCGCCAATCAGGAACATGTCAGTTTCAAGCTGTTGATTTCATTGGAAGACAAAAACACAATGCCTTGAATTTTTCTAGTTATCTGGTTGTTGTCTGTCTTGTATAATAATGAAAATAACATCAACTAACATGTAACCATATAGACCCCTTGCATGTTTCTAATTATTTGTAACATGTTTGTTTTCTTGGGTTTTTTTCTAGGTTGGAGTAATTTCAGAAAAACACACTTGGGTGTTTTACACGATAGAAGACGTAGCTAATGGAATACAGGTAAACTGTTTAGCAATTCCTCAAAATTTTGTCCTATAAGTCAGTAAATAAGTAAATGGAAACTGGGTGCTAATCTGCAGCTCGGAGACTGGGCTAAACGTTGGGTAAATCAGCTACACTATGTGGAAATGCGAGTAAAATAGCAAAGTTCTAAATACTTTGACTTTGAGCTATCAAGGGGATGCAGTCCACTCACAAATTTAAATCAAAATAAGGCTACGTCTTCTGACACTTATGCGCTTTCGAAACGCTCCGTTTTCGTCTCAACCAAAACGCACCGAAAGTTGCCCGTTCACTTTAGCGTTTCCATAATGTTTTTAAAAACCTAAGCAGATAAGATTGGAAATGATGCAATATCATCTTCTGGGCATTCGAAATACATTGGGGAAGACGTCATCGTTTTCAAATGTCTCCGTTTTCTCTCTCCATAATAATAAGTTAAGCCCCCGTTTTAAGATGGCAAGGCCAAAACTCATCAAAAAGTATGCGTTTTCAAACGGACCTGAGGCTGACAGGGAAAAACTGAAGAATTCCTTTTTTTCTCGTTTCTCGAGGAATGTGAAGATTTTAAAGCGATTTCGACTGTAGTAGAATTTATATAGCATACAAGGAAAAAGAAAGTTTTCCCATATTCCATAGTTATCAAATGGCATCGAATAATTCAATCTTCCGACTCGATCCCCAAGAACAATCTTGTCCCACAAACAACTACACAGTATCGGTTTTAAAGAGTACTACGAAGATTAAGAGACAATTTTCTGTTATTTTCACAGGACAGTAAATAATAGAAACGATTTATGATCTTTTTTTTTTCATTTTTACTATCGGTACCCACACTAACAAGGTAGCAGTCTCTGACTTAAGTTTTTTTCCTCAACAGAATTTCATCATCTGTATAGAGATGCTCCTTTTTGCTGTTGCTCACTATTATGTCTTCTCACACACACCCTACCTGGACGAAAACTCCCCGGCTCCACCCTGCTGCGCATCGTTGGTTTCGATGTGTGACGTCACTGATGTTCGAGATGACGTAGTGGAACATGTTAGAACTGTGGGTAGCACTGTTAGGGGTACTGTTGTGCGTAATAAGAAAACTGTCGTTGAAGAATCTGCTCCAACTGTTCCCAGCCCTACCATCGCAGAAGAGAGTTCAACAGAACGTACACCGTTGCTTCTGAGAGACTTATCGCGCGACAGTGATGTAGAAATACACACAAATAATTTATAGTTTATGCTTCATGCCCGGCTACGCACCCGGTTCGTCTGCTGAGTACAACATAACAATTTTCACCTTTTGCAGCTACCACATGCAATGATATTTGCGCGCTTCAAATTTGTGACCCTCAGAAATAGAAGCAAAATCGATTCATTCTAGCATAATTCTGCTTTAAATCCAATGCTGGGCAAAATTGAGAAACTAGTGACTTTACTCTAATAATTAATAGTTAGTAAATAATTAATTAGTTTCGTATTTTTATTGCAATTGCGGGTTTTTATTTTCGATGGTTAATTTTCACAGGTTTCATGACACCTCAGTTTTGCAGGGACTTGACGTGATTTTTTGCCACTATTTAAGATCAGCTGGCAGCGGTTGAACTGCATGTGTAGCCGGTCTCTTTAGTAACCATATTTTTRTGATCTCATGTTAATTAAATCTTTATTACGCTTTATGAAAATTATGTAAGATTCGATTAAACTTAGCAAGCATTCTTATCACGTATCGAACAGATAGTTTCGTGCGCATTCTGCGTATCCATTTAGTTACAGCAAGTTTTATGTTTGACGTGGAAACCAATTTTTTTAATGTTTTTGTTGAAAATTTCCCAATTTTGTTTGGCCGACTTTTAGCATTCATCTCCAGGAATCTAACGCTTTGTGTAGACTGTGAGTAGCCTGGGGTTTTTTTCTGTCACCCTGATTTTCAAAGACGGATCGATGGTTAGACCAAGACGTGAACCGTTGAAGGGTGAGGGTTGAGACGCAGTCTCTTGACTCTTCCTACTGTTCTCCTCCTAAATACCAAATCCTATATACCGAAGCCAACACCAAATAGTGACCAAGGTACTCGCAGGTTATGCTGTGTCCCGTCAAGTTTAATTTCGATTAGTATTGCGCAAAGGAAAAGTTAGTTTATTGTAATAGACACCTTGCATGTAACGTCAAAGCAACTCAATTTGTTGAGAGCAAAACAAAAGAATTTCAATTTCATGTTAATTGGAAACCTATTGTTATGTCCTCTAAATTGAGCTTTATTCCGACGCGCTGCAAGGGGTCTCTCAGAAGGGCAGGACACACGATGTCATGCGCCTGTGACGTCGCTTGGGGCGGGGAATGATCACACCATGTGACCACCCGTGCAACTGTTGCGCTCAACGTGGCATCGTGTGTTTCGAGCCTTAATTGCAAACTAAATTAGTGGTGGGCATACCTCCARTAAGAGTAGGATTGTTGCAATTACATTTTAATGACATTTTAGCTCCATTTTAAAAGTGCGCAAGTCAAAATATTATATTAGTGACTCATTTTGGCAGGACGTGCGCAGTAATCACATAATCTACATACATAGCCTAAGGGGTTTTATTTCATAGACTAAGCGTTGAATTGTATATAGTTGATTTTTTTTTAATACAGAAATATGGAAATCGACAAGTCGAATAAAGAAATGTATATTTGAATGAATGAAGGAAAAATAAAAAGATTACATCAATAGCTGAAGAATACTTGGCGTACTGTGCAGGGGCGGATCCAGGAGAGTGAATTTACAACCCCCCTTTTCTAGCTGAGCAGTTATGTCTTCAAATTTCATAATTAGGAGTGTTATCTGTTTTTGGGGGGGGGGGGGAGGAATGTGCAAAAGGGAAATGATTGATGAGAAATAATGACTTTTGATATTTTAAAGTGCTTTGAAAATTGCATTTCTGTGAGTCTCAAATTCGAAAATTCCTGGGAGATCATGCACGGACCTCGATAATTGCTCCAGCCAGACAGACAGACAAACAGATAGACTTTTTTATTCGGTATCGTGTACAATAAAATACATTGACATTTTACCCGAATAAACGAAAAAAGATTTAAAGATTATAATTGTTGATTTAAAGTAGTTATCATAGATAACCTTTGGCGCTCGTTCATTGAAAGAATCACTCCCCCCCCCCCCCCCCCCCCGATCCGCGCCTGCTGTACTACACCCAACCGCCCTTCATAACAAGCTTTGTATATAACTGTGCTTGCGCACTCTTGTCAACATCAGCCTCACACTTCTTACATTAAAAAAAAAACACTTATCTTGCGGCTTTTCGCAAAATAGTATTATTAATACACCGATCAAACGAAGCACACAAGACAACATTGTTCTTCTTGCTCTTCGTTCTATTTTATCATTCTAAATCTTTTTGCTTATTTATTTTTTCTTTCTTTATAAATGAGGGACTACATCAACTATGCAATATCATGTGTTTCGTATTCATTATTGGAATGGTTTTTTACCGTTTTATTCCCATGCAGAGTTATTATCAGTTCAGAGATCACGTGACCATTCTCCACTGTCGGCATTTTCTGATAAAAGGAAAATCGTGTGGCAGATTTGAAATCATACTCTAGCCGTTCAATATCTTATCGTAGCCTGGTGTTGTGGTTGAATGAAGCAAAAACTATGGAAAGCGGCTTTTCAGTGTAAGGGACGCCGTGCCGTGAACATCCTGTATGTCATTAACGTAGCGGGTTACGTGCCCCGTCCACTCGTACGAAAACCACTCTACTTACCTGACAGTGCCGTGGGACAGTGGTTGCCTATGATCACGTGATCGTGGTCGATATAAAGTCACTGTATTTATGAGAACATTATTTGATTGCTCCATGGTGTCGTGATGCATTGATGTGAGTTCTTTTCCGCAAGTAGCCTTGCAATAATCATTTTAAGATTGTTATTTTCATTTTCCAGGAATGAAATTTTGCTGTGGATTAAGCCGTCTTTCAGACGCTTCGCTTCGCGGGATTTCCTGGCAGAACAGTTGTTCCTCAGGCGCCGTCTCCAGTACTTTTCGTCCTTCATTTGGTCAGGAATGGAGTGTTTGCGTAACGACTTGACCGTCGGTCTGGTTTTCTTGTTCTTTTCATCCGTGTAAGACGATGAATTATTCTTAGAAGGCTTTGAATTCCCCTTTTTATTGTTAATGGTATTATCTATGCTAGTATTAGGTGGTGCTATCGCATCCGGGACTGACTTATCGACTGGAATCAAACCACCCTGCATTCCTGGAATATCTGAATCCCGCCTGGCATGTTGGTGGAAAGCACCTCCTTGTACACTAAAACTACGAGCCACATCGCCTTCGACGGGACACGGKACGGTACGGGGTAGATATATTGACTTCATGCAAGACGGTGGAGGGGTAGTCTGCATGGCTTCTTGGTTGATGTACTCTTCAAGGTGATTGGTGTTCTTGCTGTACTCATTTGCATTCTGCGTGGGTATGATGGAATGCAGGTGCACGTGTTCCTCATCAGGTATCACGCCTGGCTGCACAGTTGGTAAGTCGAAGTCTTGAGGAAAGAATATCTCTGGGACGTCAAACTCTAGGAAATCTAGTCCGTCAGTCGTGCTGCTTGGGGAACTAATGTCGCTGTCATAATCACTAAATGAACTATGGCTGAGTGAACTGAATTCTGAGATCAAAATAAAGGAGAAATGATCAATGTAAAAGATTGTGTAATGCGCGTGAAGAATGATTATAGGGATTCAAAATTCAACAACAATTTATTGATTTGTATAACCTGCTTTCATGTGCTTTCCAGAGGCTATGATCGAGAAATTAAGTTAAGTTTTCTCGCGCGTCGCCGCGGGGCACCGAATTGTGGCTTGTGACTTGATCAGAACCTATTGAACAGGTTTTTATTACTTTATTTAAGAGAGTAGGGATTGACTAGTCTTCAAACTATATATATAGAAGTTAATTAAAAAGGACACGGCCAATCACATATACTTAATAGCAAAGAGGAGCTTAACATGACAGCTATTTACTCGTTGCTATGACAACGGTAATTTATTAATCTAAATATTAAGAATCTCTAACCCTCTGGAATAAAAGCCCTTTAAAGGGTTTTTGTGTTGGTTTAAATACAGTAAATACAATGCAATTTAACAAAAAAAATTAGGGRAAAAAAATACGCATCAGTGAATTCAAAATAAATTGATTCATTGAGATGATGATTTGGATGCAAATGAGTGCCCACGCATTCCTCTACAAAATTTTACCAAAAAAAATATCTTGTCCTGACAAAAAATCTAAATACACGAAAGCTGTCACTCGCTTGAATTAGATTAACTTAATCGACATTTATAGCTTTAAGCAGCTTAATGATAGTAAACTGTCATACTAGTTAAGATAAGTTATTGGTTATGCATGACTTAGATTGGTTTTTAAAAATCATGGCTCATTTGAGATACACTGTCCTCACCCTTAAGCAAAATATATATACAACACCTTGAACATAACATAGCCAAAAACGCAGAAATCTAAGTGTATGTCAATGTAAGCTTAACGTTCATRTCTTCTCCGCATTGCAAATTATAAATATAAAGGATTCTATTTGAATATTTATTCATATCAATAATCGAGTTACGTATGAAAATGACTGGACTTTAAACCCTTATTTGACTGAAATTTTAGTCTCTTAAAAAATTGAGAGAAGCATTAATTCGAGGCAACATCTTTAATGCATAGCGGCTTCTACTGGTTCATTCATTCCTGTGGGTTTTTATAAGGATGCTGTGGCGCATATTTACAATTTGATTGCTTAAGTATAGGTATTTATTGATCAGACGTTTTGCAAGCTGTACTGCAATCCTTCGAAAAAAATCCTAGAATTCAAGTGAAGTGCAGTGAGTGCGCTTATGTACCGGTGACCCTTAAAAACGGAACCAGAATCGAATTCAGAACTTATACGATACGATATCCTTTCGTAAGAATTTTTTTTAGTTTCAAAAAAAACAAAAATGAGTAATTCTTACCTGACAAGACGTCTAATTGGCTGTGCCCTTGCAAAAACAGTTGATTGTCCATGAATGAGGTTGGTAAGCAGAGAAGATAGACTGGATGGGGTTACTGACTGCACATACGATTCTCCCAGCTCGTTCGCCCATGTGTCTAATTAATACTAAGTCGACTGTTTTTTTCAGTTTTTCTGATTCATCATTTATATAAATATGCAAAGGTTTTTTCATTGTGCTGTTTTTTTAGTCCTGTCGCCCACGGGACATACTTCATTAGTGAAGAATGCAGTTTTGTTAAACGAGTATTAACGGCCCCAAGGGGATCAAGTACTTCAAGTACTTTAATTGAACCGGTCGCGCATGCATGTCAATGCCTTTGCATTGACAAGATGTACACAGTCTTAAAACAGCATGCATCATGATGCAAAAACATGGTAACAATTCAATGAAAAGCATATATAGATTTCAGCTGTTTAATTTTTTCTTTTTTCTTTTTTTTTCGTTTAATGCAGATCGAAAATTAGAATTAAGTTTCGCGCCGTTAGTTTTCCTGGATAAACTTTTAAACCCTGGTGATGCAACGTGCCAACCCGAACTAATCTGATTTATATAAACACTATTCTGGTATATAGCCCGGCAGTAAAACTCACTACATTAACATTATATCCTTTTTATATACATAACTAACACAGGTACTTACGGTTAAACTGATGCCTCAAAAAATCTTAGCTATTGAAATTAATAATTCAGTAACAACTTTATTATTAGTAAAACAGGTGTGAGTGAGTTTCGGGGTTACTGATAAACTTGTGGCCCATGTTTCGTACTATTTACATCAAGTATATGAGAATATATATAAACTATATATTTGTACTGCAGTTTACATCATCATAAAGTTATACATATTAAATACTGATTACTAATGATATTATTAAGAAAGATCATATCGACAACAGTCCAAAATAACAGAATACAATATCATATTCCAACCTTGTTTAAAATATAATGACATATCTAAAAGTATTGCGATTCTCCTATGTATATACCTAATAATTATGACTTATTTCGCGAGTACGGCTAATTAACRATTAGCCTTGCTGTCCGAATGGGCACGAGTCAATAGCCCATGAAGTCGTAAAATAAAGATTTAAAGTTTAAAAGCATCTAAAGARACGTACCATGAGGCCGAGAGGTATAACTGCCTTTAATAGCTCCGAATAAATGCATATAAATAATGTTGAAATTAGGTTGAAAAAAAATTTGGGGGGGGGGGGGGGGGGGGGGTTTCAAAACCGCTTCTTTTCGTTAATAAATACTGTATTTATGTGTAGCCCAAGGGCCACATACATTCGTTTTAATCTCTTCGCCGTTTCTCAATATTCAAAGTTTCAGATCTTTTGAAAAAGAATCAGCATATACTGTACTTATTTCAATAAAGTTAGTCACCAAAAACCTAGAAAGCTGTGATCGCTGAGAATCATGGGGAAAATTTCATATTCAGCAAGTCAAGCTTTTTACACAAACTACAGCAGTTGAGGATGCTCAGAGGAGGTGAGACTGTAACTGGTAAAAGATCTCTGGTCCATCCAAGGGAGCACATTAAAATTTTGTTTATGTAAAGAAAGTTATTATTCTTGGTTGATCTATCGAGCGCGCGCAATCCATCATGTGACAGGCGTTCCTCGTAGTGTTTTGGTTTCGGCCGATCCGAATGGCTTACGATCGTGTAAGGAAGGGAATGACGAGTGTTCTTTAGGGCTATATTCTTTTCAATTTCAATGTTTTTGTAAAATAGTGCCCCATATTGAGAAGCTGGTAAGGCTGACACTAATAATCCGATCACCTGGGCAACTTCCCTTAAGAAGGTTTACTCTTTTGTAACAGGCACTGGCATGCTGAGACAATTTTGGCTGTTCTGTCTTGTGTTAGATACACCCTCATGACAGTTGAGTCAAGAATAAAGCCAAGAAATACCAGTCTCTGACAGGGTTGCAACACTGATTTTTCATAGTTAATTACAAACCCAAGGGGCTCTAGTAAATTCTTAGTTGTATCAATGTTATCTTTGCATTCTGTTTGAGAGTCCCCTTGCAAGTAGGAATCATCAATGTATCCTACACTCAAAAACCCTCTCCCCCTTAGGGTACTAAATACAGGTTTGAGCAGTTTAGTAAAGTACCTTGGCGCACAGGCTAGGCCCATAGATATTCGTCGGTTTTCGGAGTAAATTCGCTAACCCGACTAAAGCAAGGAACGCCTGCCATGAAGTGTAGCGCGCGCACGTAAACAAGAACTACAAGGAACGCCTGCCATATCTTAGAATACGTGCGATAAAATCGAAGATAAACCAACACAATCAAAATTTTAATGTGCTCCCTTAGTACATCAACAGTTATCAAGCGGTTGAAACATGTAAAATGTATCTACCCATAATCCTTGCCGGTCTCAGCTTTGTAGCTTTCCCGGTGACTAACTTTATTGAAATAAGTGTATAAATGTTGGAAATGTCAGGTAGAATAAAAGATCATTTATACAAACAGGTGGTGAAAAAAGGACTCGTCCTGATTGACCTAGGTACTACCCCTTACTTGACGGGATAACGAGATAAGACTGACTGAGTTTGAACTAAATTGATAAAGTTGCCGACGGCGTTTCAAATTTAGTAACAAGAAAAAAAATCTATACCAACAAGAACTTAGTGTTTTCAGAAATATAGTTAAGAGTCAAACATCCATGCCAGCCAAGGGAGCACGGCAAATACGCGCACGCGCGCGGTTTTGAAAAGTTGGGTTTCCTGTGGTGATGGCGTAATTTGACACAGAAAGTTTAACTTATGTGTAGCGCCATATTGCTTGCGCGCATATACCGTGCTCCCTTGTGCCAGCTAGAGTGATTTTTTAAATACTTGGCCAAGTAAGATRAACTAACTAAACTATCTAGAATATTTTACTTACCTGGGAAAATGCTCTATTCAGCAAGTCAGACTTCCATAACTTTATTTCTCTTAGGCAGGAAAGGTATCTATGTCCTCAAGGCTCTCCCCGGGGGGGGGGGGGGACTCCGCCAGAATTTGGGTAGGGGTGTTCCGCTGGGATCTGGGATTCTGAAAGGGGTACCCTGTTTATGACAAAAAAAAATTGTATTTATAGACCCTGTTTATGACAAAAGATATAATTAAGTTCCTGTTTCAATTATCATGCCATCTCACGTATCATTTTTTTTACGACCATGGTAACCAGTTTCAGTCAATACGAAAGTAGAAATCCTGAAYATGACAAGAAACTCAGGAAGAATTTGGACCTTGAGTGAAATTGCATACCCTGTTTATGACAAGAAGCTCGAAAAACCATACCCTGTTCAGCGGAGCATCCCCGTATAGTTCATAAATGGGAGTACCCCTCCCCCCCCGGGAAGGCTCTCTGCAGGATTTCGAACAAATTAAAACAAACAACAACAAAAAACAATCCGTTGTATTAAAAATTACTGAGCAGAAAATGAAAATGTGACTAATGATTCTGAACTATAATTCCATTAAACAATAGCTGATTGAAATTGGGCTATTTGATTCCAAAATTTCTGTACCATTTCTAACGATTATTGATATAGCAAAACCAAAATTTCATTTTACGCAGCTGGAATCTTGTGACTTTAACCAGGGATTCAGCGCAGGACTAAGCATCGAAGAAGAATGCTCAATGTCGGCACTTGGGTGTTCCTCGTCTGTTCTCAATACTCAAAATTTTTATTCCGTGAAAAACTTTGCAAGAAATTGCGCAAATTTGCGCAAATTACACCTCAATAGACCGTAGACCTACAAAACGTCGCACTAATTTGTACAATTTTGTTAGTTAAACTCTGGGTATTTATTTATTTATTAAATTTATTTGAATATTTGCCAGAGGCAGGTTATTTGCACTGCATGTGCAATTTTTCCTTTCCACAATATAATTTGAACATGTTAGAAGGAAGTGTGCCTCATCTTCTACACCAACCTTACAGAACAGGACATAGCCTTTCTTCAGGTTTAGTGTATGGTCGAGTGTATCTGCCCACTTCAATCTGAAGACAGTGATCACTGATTCTGAGTTTTGCTAAAGCCCCCCAGCCTACAAAATAAATATGTCTATTCGTAAATCCACCCTCCTCCCTCCCCCCCAAAAAAAGCACCTGTTTTCAAAACTCAACATAATTATTTTATTTGTCATATAATTATTTACCAACACAGCAATATTGTTAAATTTGTTAGCTGYGCATTTATAACAGACCTTAACTTGAGCATAATTAAAATAAACATCAGCAAACCTCATAATTTGATATGGAGATCTAAAAAATTAGTGTTCYGTCTTGATCTAACAATTAAGATTTTTAGCCCTCTGGCCCTTCAAATATAACTATACATGCAGTAACAGTCCCTTTGATTAACATGGTCCCTAAATCCATCACCAAATAATTAGTGAGGTACCATTTACATTTCCTGGAAAAACATTGGAACATAAGGAACTGTGCTATGCATGTTTATACATTTGGATTTGAATTTATCTATCATGGCAATATCATTATACTCAATGTCTTGCTAAGTATAATCCAAATTTATAGATATATACATGAATCAAATATATTCCTGATTCACAAGCTTATATTTCAAGCTATAATGACTAAAAGTCACTTCTCTGGAATTCAAACTTTTAAAAAACACATATAATAATCCATGTATAGAAAAAATCACTAATATCTAACATACATATATAATATATACACTTGATTGCAGAAAGGTTGTAGTATACATTAAATTTTATACATATATCTAATGAGATGCAAGATATCAAATGAGATGCACAATTTAAAAAGTAACTTATTTGGTCTTCATTATCTTCTATTGTATCAGAGACATACGTATTACACAAACTCAAGTTAAAAACTTTTTTTCACAAAATGGTGTGGCTATAAGCAATCGCATTTACGCATGTTTTAAATTGTGCATCTCGTTTGATATCTTGTATCTCATCAGATATTTGTATRAATGCATACTACAACCTTTCTGCAATCAAGTGTATGTATAGATATATATCAAATACTTTTGTATGCATGCATGTAAGCATAGAGATATAAAGTTTACAGTTAGCTATTTACAATTTTAATTAATGACATTATTGAAGTCACCTCTCTAATTTCATCTCAAGCTTATGAACAAGCTTTTTGAGCTTTTCCATTTGTTTCATTAAGTCTGCATTTTCTTTCTCCAATAAAGTTGATTTCTTAACAAGTTCAATTTCTCTGCTTCTCTTCATTTCTCTTGAGCGTTTGGCAGCAAGATTATTTTTCTGTCGTTTTTCCCAATATTTTTCATCCTTGGAATTCGAATTTGAGGTAGGCTTTTTTTTCTTTACAGATACACTTTCGGTCGGTCTTTGTGTATTGCTTGCATACGTGTGATCACTTTCACTATAATTTCTTTTCCTTGAAAGTTCACTCTCTGTTGACTCAGGCTCACACTTCTTCACTATACTTGGAGTAATGTTTATAGCAGTATCATAAAAGCTTTCATCTGTCAATATGTCTAAAGATGAATTTGTTTCATTTTTACTTAAATCTGCCAAGGAATGATCAAAATAGTCCACTTGAGTGCAACTAGTTACTGCACCATCCAGAAGATCTGGGAAATTATCAGGAATCAACAAAGTGTCAGTTCTATATTCATCAATGTCATTGTCAGCCTTGATACTTATGAAGGGGTTAAGCACTGGGCCACCATCTAGAAACGATTGGCCCATTTTAATAGCATCTCCTCTTCTTATTGTCCAGTCCTCGCCAAAGTTATCCAGACTTGAGCACGAAAAATCACTGCAGTTACTTGGAGAAGATGGAAGACAWGAGCAGCCACTGTCAAAGTCTTCATAATGTGAATTATGGGAATTCCCTGGAAATAATATAACATAAGAAATCACATATACGTATCACTATAACTGTATGTTTTATTRAAAGTCATGTCATTTTTGAGTAGTTTCAACTAGCTGTTTCTCTTTTGGCTATGGTACTGATTACAAATAATTAAGTGGCGTTGAGAAACAGAAGCTTCACTACATTTGGGCTCCCTGTTTCAGTGTGATTAAAAAGTTCTAAAAGGCTTAAACTCAATATTCTCAACCTTCTTCATAACACCAGAAATGTCTTGCTTTCTAAAAATGAAGGGAACTACACATTTTTTAAAAATCTACTATTACTTTTCCAAGTGAAAAATCGATTGAAATTGTCGTTCAAGGATAAGTTTCAGAAGCAGAGGCAACAGGGAATCACCTTCAATAAATACATTATGGCTTGACTTCAAAAAAGCAAAAATGCTCACCAAAATCGCTGTCTAATAGTTCCATAACGGTATATACTCCAAATGAAACTAAGTCTAGCAGCACATGAATAACCTCATCCCAAGACGAACATTGAATACTATAACAGGCAGTAACATTTCTTGTTTATAACATGAGGATGTACACGTGAAAAGTCGTACGTTACTGTGACATTGCATAATCGAGAAATGTAACGTCATTGGTTGAAGCACAGGGCATGAGGTTCCTCACGTGGACTTGTATGCTTTACCAAAAAGTCTCGTGTACCGGAAATAGAATAGTCAAAAGCTCCATGAGTAAACCTCAATTACAAGCATGAAATTACGGAAAAAATTAAATGACATATATGGTTGATCATTATCTCCTTCAAATTATCCAAATTTGAGTGTTTTAATGGGCTACCAAGCACTTTCATAACCATCTTAATAATCGGCTTCCGGAGGATTCTTGTTATGTAACATTTTTTCCACAGGAATACCATCACCAAGGATTCAAAAACAATGACTCAGCACAGTTTTGTGCCTAGAGCAACGGGGATCCAAAAYTAAACGATTCTTATTTACTACTTATTTAATTGTAACATTGGCAACATTAAATCAATGAAATTTAATTTCCTAGGCCTTTAAAATGGAGGTGCTATTACAAGTTAAAGCCGTACTGATGGTTTTCAACCATTCCCAAGACAATAGGCCCTTTGCAGCTAAGCAATCACGTGCTGATTAATTCACTGAGAGCAAATGAATGAACATMTTGATTCCCATGGGTGAAATTTACTGRRCTGCAAACAAACTTTCTACAACCGGTTTCGAGAGATCGTAATAAAACTGAAGATTGGGCTGCCTGTGGATTCAAGAACGTTAAAATCACCCCGTTTCTGCAGGTCTTTCTAATGTGCTAGTGAGTGTGAGGGTGACAATCATGCCCTGGTTGCCCTTTGCTTCTTCCCCTCTAATATTTTTTTTAAAAATCCCATTCTGTCGCAATCAAGCTAGCGGGATACTAGCTCCTCGAACGTGTCCGGCGCCGCGCCACTAATTCCATTTATTCTCAGCAGGTACCAATCAGATCTATCTTATCTATCTTAGGCTTGTCAAACTCAATCTACTTCCACTGTCTTACTGGCTTGAATATTTAGATCTCTTATATTTTTTTCAAGTGTCGCCTTAAGGTTGATAATGTTGATCTATCTCCCCTATATTCGCTATACAGGTACGTGCCGCCAAACAGGGTATGGTTTTCAG